TGAAAAGAAAAACACTGATACATAGCTGCTAACTCTACTGGATTTTTTCCCAGTTTCTCCTGGTCTACTGGTTTAATAAAAATTCTCCTAGTTTCTGTACATTTTAAAAAATTCCCTAAAATTGTGTAAGTTTCTTAAAAAAATCTCCATTGAAATAGATTAATGCTTGTTTAATTATTTAAACAAGTACATAACGCATAATGAAGTAGGCCTCATTTAGAGATATCAATTTAAAACTTTTTTTTTTGTTCTAAAATCGTTCACTTTATTTTTATTCAGGACTCCATTTTAAATTAATGAAAAAAAACTCTTTTAGCTATCTCTGAATTAAATGCCTTTTAGTATTCAAAGCTATGAGTGAACATAATGCATAGTATTTTAAGTATATTTAATGTCAATCATAACTGGAAAATATGAAATTTTTTCTATTTTTATTACTATGAAAGTCCCTAAAATTCCTTATGTGTAAAATATTTAGTACATTATGCAACAGTTATTCTGAAATTTATCATCAGCTATGCTGATGGGTAAAAAACTAATATTTGATGATATATTCAAATCACTTATGTCACCGAAAGTAAGTGCTTGAAAGATGAGAAATATACAAATTTCTTGCTATTTTATTTTTTAAAACTTACTGCCATGAAATAATCATTAAAAAAAAAACAAATTTGTTAAAGCTTTGAGTCTCTCGTCTGGGAGTAAAATAGATATCTACAAATTTTAATTTTATGTACATTTTTTTTCTTCTTACATAAAACTCCTTTTTGGAAATCAAGTGTTTTAAAAAATAAAGCTTTTTTTTGTTGCTATTTAACATTTTGAACTCAACATTTATTTTAACATTTTTTGCTTAATAAAGTAATAAAAGTTTGAAAATTTAAAATAAGTATTGTGATTCTTCAGTTTTCTATTACATACTGCAATGTTTAACTTCATTGAATTATTTCAGGATATGAAATGATCCGTATGTGAGCATCTTTAGAAGGTTTTCTTTATTTCTATGAACTGAACATTGAAATGCTTGTGTTTTAATAAAACAGGTGAGAAATATTTGCTTCTTAAAATGAATAATAATAAATATGAATTGTGTATCTTGAGAATTTGGAATTTTTTGGCTGGTAAAATTTGACATTAAAAACTGTGGTTGGTTAGATTTAAAATCATAAAAACCATCTCAAAATTCTTTTGTTCCATAGTTAGACTTTGTAAAAGTTAAGCATTACATAATTATTGAGTAGCAATAAACTGCTACTCAAAATTAACTGTATTATTTAAATTACAGTGAACTCTTGCTACTACGATATCCCATACAACAATAATTCCCTTATTACGATAATATTTCGTGGTTCCGACAAACTTGCATGCGAATGAATGTCATGCTCCTCTCATTACTACGATATTCTCTGAAGCAATAAACCCCTGTAAAACTACTTTTTTTCCAAATTTCAACCTTATTTTCTCTATTTATTATCGGTTTTCAGATAATGTAAAAAATCTTATTTTATCATTTTTTGCAAATTTTTTTCCATCTTTTCTGATAAGAGTTTTGGGTATTCATACTTAAAATTATTTGATAATGAAAATTATTATGCTATTTGTAATTGTGAATTCAATATATGATTTTAGTAGTAACTATGTTTAATATGTGATTAGTTTATTTAATGGTACTGATAAATTGGTTATGTTCTTTTAAGTAATATAAAATACAATTTTACATAAAATATTGCAAACATAACTTAAATTCTTTTATATAAAATATATTAAAAATATCACTTATTTTAATTTTTTAAGAAATTCATAATTTTTTTTTCTTCACTTATTTGAGAATGACATTAAAAAGCTCTAAAATTAATATTATTATTTAAACTAGATTGCAATTTTAAACTGTTTAGATATTTGATAATTCTTTTTGAAAAGGGGTTTATTTCACTTGAGTTGAAAATTTAAGAAATTTGAAATTTAAATTTAATTGGTAAAAAATTGGAATTGTATTGTTTAAAATTATTTAACACATTTTTTAATTCTCATGCTTTGAAAAATTTCGCAACAAAAGATGTTAGGACTTTTTAGATGTCTTTAGTCAACAGCAAAACTGTCACTTATTGATTTTTTTTAAATGATTGAAATTTTTAATTATTTTCCTCTCAGGTAAAATGTGCAACAAACATCTTCTATTTTAACATTTATTACTCAGTTTGAACATTCAGGTTGCTCAGTTTATTAATGCTAAGATTTATTTTTTGAAACCTGTTAACATTTGTTGGTAAACCTTATTTATGACTAAAGTTTTGAATTTTTTAATTATTTTCATAAATAAAAAATTTCCAAGTGATGTATGAATGCTGATTTTTGATGTATGTCGCATTTTTTAATAATGTTCATATAACGTTTGTTTTTAATAAATGTTAATCGTCGTTATGTTTGCTTTTGTTGAACTTGGTTCATTAGGTATCTTATCTATACCTAATTGTCAGGCAAAATTTAGATTTGTTGCATCAAAATAAAAAAGGCCCACTCTCTTTTTGTTATCTTTTTTTCTTTGCCGAGCGCAAAATAACTTTGATAGACGATATAGTAGCCCACTTTCAGAGTAGGAGAGGAATTTTAACATGGTTACCATGTCTCAGCTTCGTTAAATCTGCCTGGAATAGAGAATTTAAATATTAACTTTTAAAATTTGTTTCCATATCCTGTAATATTGTTTGGAAGCTATTGAATAGGTTGAAAAAGTTAACCAATATGTCACAAATACTTAATGTTATATGCTATTTTTTTAGTTCTCATGAAAATCCTTTTTTTTTTTCCTTACTTATTTACAAACAATTTAAAGAAAAACGAAATGATATTACTTCATTAACTTTTTCTACATTTTTATTTGTTTAGAAATTATTTACAAACGATGCTCACTACTTACTGTTAAAATTTTCCTGCTGATGATGCAGACATGGTTGCAGCTCAAAACAAAGCTATAATTGAAGTTGTTCAAGAACTTGTACGACAGCCGACTCAACCAAATACATGTGTTAAAGATCAGAGTAAGTATTTTTAATTTCTTTTTCAATAACTTTAATAACAAACAGATTTATTTCTTTAGTTTAATTATGTAAAAAATTAAATATTATGAACAAATATATAAATTAACGTGAATGATTTCCTTATAAATTTATATGGTATAATACTATTTATAAAAAAAGAATAATTTTTTATCACTCAAAGAACAAGTTGAAAAAATTCAAAACTTCAAAGAAATTTGTCATCAGGGTTGTTAGGAGACAGACAACCCTGAATACAGAAACTTAATTTTTTAATTTAACCAAGCTTAAGTGAGTACAGAAAATTACAACTTAAATTTTAGGGACCATAATTGTTTTTCCCTAAAATGTTCATAATACCGGAAATTTTTAACATTAAAAACATAAATCAGGTTGCGTAGCGTTTTTAAAAAGTGCTTAAAGGTGCTTTTTTTTTTTCGTTTTTTAAAAGTCATTAAAGGTGCTTTTTTCTTTGGGTGTTTTTAAAAAGTGCTTAATTTTCCCTTTTTCAAAATGAGTTTTTTCCTTTACTATGTTAGTTTTCGCTTCAAATTATGCAAAAAAGACACAGTACACATTNCAACGTTTTCATAAATAATTCAACCCCAACCTATTTCGGCATATTGTCAGTACGTAGCGTATGAAAACGCCATTAGTTTTGCATGATTGAAAATTTCATGATTTTTGACAATTGTCAAAAACAATGCCAAAAGTTTTTTTTTTAACAAGATAAAACTGTCAATTGTCAAAAATTTTCCAACCCAACTATGGTATTTTTTTAAAGTGCTTAAAAATATTTTTTGAGTACTTGAAAAGTGCTTATTTTTTCTTGAATAATTTGGCTGCGCACCCTGTAAATAAATTTAGTTTATCATAAAATAGTTTAGTTTATCTTTACACAGTGTTAAGCAAAATTCTTTGAAAATTGGAAGATAATAATTTAAAATTTCAAAAAGCTTAAAAATATTACAGCAAAAATAGCAATGTGTTGCATTAAACTGCAATTGTGATTTCATAAGTTATTTTTAAAAAATTTTTGAACTGCATTGTTCAAATTTCAAAAAGTAATGCTAAATGTTTATCCCTTTGCCTCCATTTTTAATAAAATTCTTCCTAAGGTTCATGGATGAAAATGCATGATTATTCGTAAAAGATAAGATTTTGCAGTCATATATTATCTCTAATTTTCTGGATGTTTGGCATTATATTTTTGGGACTCAGACAATAATTTGGTAAGGATATAATTATTGTAAATATTATGTAAATATATTTTTTATTTGTGGCAAGTCGTAAAAAGTTTTTTCAGACAGGAAAGAGCTAGCTTGTGAGTGGTAATTTCCCTTTACCTGGTTTAATTGAGGAAAATCCTTTTATGTATGATTTTTTATTAGAAAATATAATCTTAGTATTTATTATGTTTAGAGGCTTTATCAAGAATACGGGAAATTTTAATTTCTGAACATAGAGAAGCTGTTTGATGCTGTTATTAATTGGTAACTTGTAGCTCAATTATTTCAAGTTTTAATTTTTGTCAAGTCTTAAAAAAAATATTTTCAGACTGGCATGTGAGTGGTAATTATCTCATACCTGGTTTAATTACAGAACAATTACTATTGCCTCACAAGCTGTAGATAATTGTTGTAGTCATTGCTTTTCAATTTCCGTTGAATATCCAATTATAAGCGAATTTCATTGAAATCTGTATTCACACTTGAAATACAGATGTCATGGAACATATTCATAATTTTTAAACTTGTCTTATTTACTGAAAAAAATTGACTTTAATCTTGGAATTTGATACTACTCATTCTTAGCTTAGCTGGATGATCACGCAACTGATCAAATTCTGCATGTGGCAATTATTTTGAAGTTGATGTAAGTAAACAATTTAATTGTTTACTTACAATTAAACAATTTAATTGTTAGTTGATTTTTAACTGAAAGCAAACTTAGTAAAAAAGTATACTTAAACCTTACAATTCCAGTTGGGATAGGTGATGTTGCTTCGATAATAATTATAGACGATATATGTTGAAAATAAAATAAATCATAAGTGATTAAAAACAGAAGCAGGATGACTGTACGAAACTTTTATTTCATAAAATAATAATGCAGAGCTATTGTTGCCTAGTTTACATTTAACATTTTAGGAAAAAATAATCTATTTTGAATAATGATATAAATAAGAATAAGCCATGGGAGATAAACTCACTATGACCTGTCTGATTAAATGCCAGTTAAGAAGTGCATATTTAATTGTTGGTTTGGAGTACAGAAGGAGATCCATTAATAATGGACAAAGCCAAAATTCAAGCCAATTGTACTAATCTCAAAATATCTAATGTTAACATTTAATTAAGCAGGCTGGAAATTTAATTCCAGGAAGTTTGTTAAAAATCAAAGTAAACCTATTAAATTGTTTTTTGTACACAGTTGGGACAAAATTGAATTAACTCATACCTGATTTAATTACAGAACAATTGCTATTGCCTCACAAGCTGTAGATAATTGCTGTAGTCATTGGTTTTCAATTTCCGTTGAATATCCAATTATAAGCGAATTTCATTGAAATCTGTATTCAAACTTGAAATGCAGGTGTTGTGGAACATATTCATAACTTTTAAACTTGTCTTATTTACTGAAAAAAATTGCTTTTAATCTTGGAATTCGAAACTACTAATTCTTAGCTTAGCTGGATGATCACGCAACTGATCAAATTCTGCATGTGGCAATTATTTTGAAGTTGATGTAAGTAAACAATTTAATTGTTCACTTACAATTAAACAATTTAATTGTTAGTTTATTTTTAACTGAAAACAAACTTAGTAAAAAAGTATACTTAAACCTTACAATTCCAGTTGGGATAGGTGGATATTGCTTCAATAATAATTGCAGATGATATATGTTGAAAATAAAATAAATCGTAAGTGATGAAAAATAGGAACAGGATGACTGTACGAAACTTTTATTTCATAAAATATTGCAGAGCTCTTGTTACTTAGTTTACATTTAACATTTTGAGAAAAAATAATATATTTTGAATAAAGATATAAATAAGAATAAGCCATGGGAGATAAACTCACTATGACCTGTCTGATTAAATGCCAGTTAAGAAGTGCATATTTAATTGTTGGTTTGGAATACAGAATGTGATCCATTAAAAATGAACAAAGCCAAAATTCAAGCCAATTGTGCTAATCTCACAATATCTAATGTTAGCATTTAATTAAGCTGGCTGGAGATTTAATTCCAGGAAGTTCGTTAAAAATCAAAGTAAGCCTATTAATGTTTATACTGATGTTCTATGTGATTGGAGAAAAATAAAAGATTATAAATTGATTTTGGTACACAGTTGGGATAGAATTGAATTGTATTTAGTTTATTTGCATGAAATTAAAAAGTGAGCTGCTGCATTTATGGAGAAAAAAATCATAGAAATATTTACGTTTTTTCTTTATAAAATTAATTGATTTTTAATTGTGAAATATATTCTCAGTTTTTTTTATTTTTGATGACTACTGAAATAAAAAAATAAAATTTTACAACAATTTATGAAATTTTAACTTAGAACATTGAGAAACTGTGTAAGATGATTGTTAGATTGTAACTTGTAATTTTTATTTCAAATATATTCTTAGCTTTTATTATCTAGATAACATTGTTAGGCTCTAAACTGTTTTGCTTAAATTTCTATACTTATTTACTTGAGTTAATTCAGTTTGAATGTTTATAGGCTATGAATTCATTGATAGTAATTGCAGAAGTTAGAAATACAAGCATCAATAATATTATTGGGCCAAGTAGAAAACTGCTCATTAATTATGTTCCATTGCGAAAACACAATCTACGACACCAGCCTGTGCTATCTCAAATAGCATTGTTAGATGGGAATACTTTCTGCATCACTTTAGAACCTCGTCTTTTCTCATATGGTATGTAAAAGAGGCCTCTGAAAAGTTTTATTATTTTAAGATTTTTGTAAAAATTGCATGCATTTTTTCCAAAATATATCAGTATTATTGGTTGGTTTTTCGTCTAATATGCATGCTACATAAATCATTTCAGAATAAAACTAAATGGCACAAATCACAGTATATATATTTTTTAAGTCAGATTTTTAAAAAATTTAAATCATATATTTTTATTTATTTACAACAAAGCTCTAATGAAACATATTAATATTCTTAATAATAATACATATAATAATCTCCAATCCAGTACCTCCAGATGTATTGATTTATTATGGGAACATGGAGGACTTTTCGACTCAACAGATTTAACATGCATCAATCACCATCTACTACACAGAGAGTCTTCGGCCACCGGGAATTGAACCCACGAAGTCTTGGGAATGGGCACAGTGCCCTACCTACCAGGCTATCTCAGCCTCATAGTTAGACTTTGTAAAAGTTAAGCATTACATAATTATTGAGTAGCAATAAACTGTAACTCAAAATTAACCATGAATTATTTAAATTATTATTAAATGCTGATCAAAATGTTTAAAAATGGTTGGTTTTATCCTTTCTGTTTTAGTTAGTCTAAAACCAGACATTGCAAGGTAGTTTTGCAGAAACAGTGTTAAACAACTAAGACAATGGCAGTTAATCAAGCTGTAATTTCTGGAATTTTCTTTTTCACGATATATTTAAAAGAAATAGCTGCTTTTTACAAATGACTCAAAACTGTTATGAGATTTAAGGATAAAGTTATTCTTTGAGTTTATATGCAATTCATTTTCTATTTACTCATGCATTCTAAAACTTATTAAAATAATCTTAAAATTTCAAGATTTCAATTGGTATTGAGCAAATATTTTAAATTAAATGTGATGAAAAGTATAGTTAGATATTTATTTATTTAGTTTTTAAATGTTTTGAGTGAAATAAGTGTTTTTGATGTTTAGTGTATCCTATCACAATTCTAATTCTAATTCACACTAGTTGGTAAAGATTTAATATTTTGTTATAAAATTTAATGCAACATGTTCATTATTTTATTTTATAATGTGTTTTACTGTTTGGATAAATAAGTGGCCATTATTTTAAACCAGTTTTTAAAAAAAAAAAATTATAACCGTCATTGAACAGCTGACCCAATTTTTGGATTTACGATTACTAATGTTCAACTCCGTAGCCTTGTAATTTTGAACCCAATCCAGAAGGCAAGAAAACTCCTGGATCGAGTATTGGAAGAAATTTTCCTTCGTGGAGGACTTGTAAAATCAGTTTGTATTTGTTATGATTATTTGTTAACACGTTAAACATAGGTATAGTTTGTCTATGCTAAGAACTCCCCCTGCCACAAATTCTGTGGCCATCTACTGCTATGGAACCAAGAATAGCGCATTTTAGGGAGGGTAGCTTCTCTTCATTCTTGGGCAAAGAAAAAGATTGCCTTTCTTTCGATCCAAAACCTGTTCGGCACAACAACCCGACACCCCTTCTTGAAATAGTTAGATCTCGTTACCATAGTCACCTCCACGGGCCCAGAGAAATGGCTGTACGAATTCTTACTTTAGACAAATTATGTAGAGAAATGTTTTTAGCAGCTAATATAAATAGTTCGCATGCGTTTAATATTGAGGTGTGGTAAAGATAGAGTCACACTATCTTATTTAATTTATGAGCTGATGCATTCATTGATGTCTTGTTTCCAAAATAAGGCAGTGGGTGAGTCATTCATTAATAATAATTTTTTTAATTAAATTTTCTAAAAATTTAAAATTATATATTTTTTTAAAATTTAACATATATTTAATTTCACATACGTTGAAGTTGAAACTTTTTCTGAACCTGGGAATAATTTACACTTCAGTTGTGCAGGTATATCGAATCTATTTTTAAAACTTGTAACAATAATTTTTCGATCATCTCGATTTGATGTAATCTTTGGCCTTCCGGAACGCATACGATCAACGTAGAGTCCTGTTTCATTGAACCTTTTAATTGTAGAATAAATGCATGCTAATTAAACGTTTTCCAATGCAGCGATTTTGTCTATAGTATGACCTGCTTTTCTTAAAGATACTATAGCTGCACGTTTTTCAGTTGATATTTCTTTTCTTGGAGACATATTTATAATGTTGCTTCAAATAAAATAATTTAATAGTAGAAAAATTAGTGAATGAAATTTTATAGTACATTCTTCAAATTAGCGGTAAACATCGTTTCGTTTGCAAGAACAAACAAATTTTCGATGAAATGTGACTGCTCGGTTTTAAGCGAAACGCCATTTGTTGTAATTGTTTCAAACTAGTGCTCTTGAACTCTTGTTTGAGCCAGTCATGGCTACCATTGCAATAGTGTAATGATTTTGGTTTGATTATTTACAATTGTTAAATAAAGTATTGTTTGTTAAACTTCTAGTATTTCATGAACCAGCATATTGTGTACAATCGTGTACAGTGACATCTATGAGATATTGTTTTAATTACATTCATAATAATTCTTCGTAATAACAATAATTACAATAATGAATAAGAATATTTGTTTTATAATAAATATTAGTTATTTGAAAATATAGAAAACATTAAAATTAAAAAGTTCTTTGATAGAAGATGTATAGACCAAAAGACTGCATATGTGGAATGCTCAAAAATCAAGAAAAGTACACGTTTTTCAAAATTCTATAACTTTGTCAAAAAAAATCAAATCGATCTGAAATTTTGAGGGCTTACATAGAACGGTTCAAATAACCATTTTCCATTAACAGACAGTACAAGAAATTTTTTTTGCAAGTTTGGCAAGTGTTGAAAATTAACACATTTTTTCACCATAAAAACAACCCATGATGAACCCATAAGAATACTTTTTTTTAAATCCTTATTTTCATGTTAAATTTTTTTTTTATCATGTAAAATTTCTTCATATGAATTTTTTTCTTTTTATAAGGGTAAGCTAAGTAAGATCCAAGTCAAAGTGAAGGTGTATGAAAATGCATAAAGGTGTGCATTGTGAATGTGCAAAAATAGTGTCTTATTGCTGTTAGGATGCAAGGTATGTTATTTTTAAAAGTTGAACCCTATTCTAAATTTATAAATTTCCGAAATGTTACAAACAAATTTTAAAGGAAACATCATAAGGCAGGACTTTTTTACCTTTCTACTTTACATTGTAGCATTTATGATCAGTACAAGAAAAAATGCACTTTTATTTTTATTTACATTTTATTTTTATTAACATTTTATTTTTATTAATTCAGTTTTTAAAATAACTTACTAATAATTATTTTTTCTATTGTGAGACGCCGTAGATAGTAACTGAAGGCAAGTAAACTACTATACTGACATTATTAGCGTGATTTTAAAATTTTTTGAACTTTTTTCATTTTAATAGAATGAAATATATTAGATGACTGCTGTATATTAGATGACTGCTTATGTATGAACACAGAGGAACAATGTTACTTTTTTTGTTATTCAGCATAAAATAACATAATTTTGAGTCATTTCTCTGCGAAGTTATTTAAAAAAAAAAATTTGAAATATTTTTTGCTCTTTTTCTGAAGTCATTTTTCAAATTTACGTCAATTCAAATCAAGCATAAAGGTGCGTATAAGGTTAAAAGGATTCGATTTAAAATTAACATAGCCCCAGGAAATTTTCAAAATTTAATTGAAGATTTGTTTAGAAATTTAGAAGGAGTTGTTCCTTATTTTGATGATGCGCTCATTCAAGGAGAAGCTCTGAAGAAGAGTTAGCTACTTGTTTCAAGCAAGTACTAGAGCATTTGAAAAGTGCGGGTCTTGAAACAAATAGGAAAAAATGATTTTTTAGTGTAAATCAAGTTCGATTTTTGGGGCTACCGTATCGATGCAAAAGGTATTTACCCTTCCAAAAATAAAGTAATATGTTTATACATGTAGTGGCCAGATTACGACATAGAAGTGCATGTTGAGAGATTCCAAAAAATGTTAGCAGACTTGTCATGCCCCTAGGCTTTGCAGGGACAAGCATTGCTCATCAAAGTGGATAGAAGTGTGTCATATGACTTCAACATCCGCCTCTGCAATAGTCGATCTCCTCCAAGAAATTTTGACTACTCATGGAATACCTCATGTCATTGTTTCCGATAACGGAGGCAAATTTCGAGCATCTGTGTACCAGACTTTCTTGGAGATGAATCTCATTTAAAGGGTTATGATCACTCCAAGACGTCCGTCCGGAAATGGTCAAGCGGAAAGAACAGTCCAGACTGTAAAGACGCATCATGATGGGAAATTGGAGGTAACATCTAGCAAAATTTTTTCTTCAACAGCATTGCAATCCTACCAGAACAATTAGTGCTAGTCCTGCTGAACTGCTGATGGGACGGAAGAAGTTTTTTAGATAGTCTGCATTAAGATCTGACAGCTGAGAAAAAGTTAAGGCAGGAGAAAGATGTGTGTAAGAAATATAGCGATTGTCTTCAAAGATCATTCAGTGTCGACGATCCAGTCTTATGGACATGGTCAAAAGTGATTTCCAGCAATGGTGGTTAAGTCCATTTTCTTACCAAGCTGTTACAACAAGTGGTGATATAGTAAAATGTCAAATAGATCAACTTGATTTTTGTAACTGCTATAATTTTTCTTATTCATGAATTTATTTTTAAAAGATAATAATTTTAGTTATGTAAATTATGGACTTGTTCAATGAATGGTGCATATTTTATAATAAAACAATACTTTGCGGAGACACACTGGATATACTCTTTGGCTAGTGCTGAGTTATTCAAAGCGTAGTGTTGAAGACATCCTTGTTGCAGTTGATTCATCAGAAATACCGCACATAATTTTACTGTGTCATCGAGCGCTGAGTTAATTAACAAGTTATATACAAAATAAATTATTAAAAATCATTAAAATAATTCTTAAATAAATGATAAATTAATATATGCAATCTTACTTAAAATCAGAAATTATGTGTTTTGATAATTTTCATCATAACGAATGTTTCAAAATTGTACCGTGTACAACTGTGCACTATTAAAATGCAACACAATCACATTACAATAATAAATACCTATTTAAAGTACTCGAGTTTTATGTATACCAAGTGATTAAGAGCCTAAATATAACAAAAATAAGTTATTAAAATAAAATATGTTGATGAAAAGAATCTGTCTACAATTGTAATCACATCCCATCACTTTATCGTAATTTGATTTGAGATGCCTAAATATAATAAAATCAAATGAAGAAACAGCTCAAAATCCTTACACTAATTCAGAATAAATATTAATAATAATTAAATAAAGTAAAATAAATCTTGTTTTGTATAAAATTGTACAACACAAAAAAGTCATGAACACATCTCGATTCGTTTGGCTAATCTTTTAATTTCTGAAATTTTAACCTATCAAATGATAACCAGCTGAAAACCTTTAAAATAATTTTTAAAAACTTTTTTTTATAAAAAATAAACAAATGATCTTTTTACTTAAATGATCTATCTTATAGGCCAAGTTTTTTCTCACTTTCAGCTGAAGTTCAACTTTATTATTTTTATTCTCAGAAATATAAGACTTCAAAATTTTCTTGATATTCAAGTAAAATGATGCAACATGATGAGGATGTGGATAAAAGAAGAATGCAGATTAATTCTATATTTAACATTTATTTTAACAATTTTTAACTGTTTAATCATTAGATTTATTTATAACTGGGATATTACAAAAATTATTATAAAAGAAATAATGCATTTGCGATCATTTTCTGCTTTAATTTTATTCAAAACTACATTATTAGTTCATTTTTTATATCTTAATTTTTAAAAATTATTTTAAAGGTTTTCGGTTGTTTATCATTTAAATAAGGGTAAATGATAAATTATCGATAAATGATTAACGGTCAATTTTAATAATTTTGGTGAATTTTAATTCTTCTATATTTCTTAACTTTGTTTGGAAAATTTTAATAGTTTAGATCAAGGGATTCAATTTTGAAGCATTTGTTAAATTTTGACTTAAAATTATTCCAGCAAATGTGTTTAGGATAATTCATAGTGTTTTTTATGCGGTTAACTGTTTTGTATATTTACATCGTTATTATTGTGAAAAATGTGTGTCTTATGATGCTAAATTCTAATCTTCAGTGTTAGTTTTGTGTTTGAATTTTATTTAAAACCCATAACTTGGGGGAAAGATTTAATATCAGAATTTATCAATTTGTCTATTATTTGTGTTAATTCAGAGATTGCTTTCGCATTGCTTTTGGGAGTAACCTCCTTCCTAAAAGGAGTTACTCCCAAAAGGTTGTCTGGCTTAAGACTATTTGTTTTGTTTTCCTAATTTTTAATAAATGTTATTAAGTTTAATTTTGGAGTTTATTCAAGAAGTCCATTTTCAACGTACCTCAAATACTACATTATGCCTGTTTTTTTTTTCTTCAAAAATTTGTTTATCTACTTAAAGACCTATATCCGGAAAAACTTATTTTCCTGACGTGTCGAAATCTTGATGATTCCGAACATGGGACTTTCCATTGTTAATTAAATGTACTTGATAATAAAGTATCAAAATGTATGCATATATATAATATGTACTCGTATTTATAAATATTCATTCAATATTAATATTTTTAGGTTCTTTGATTCTTTTTGATATTCTTTCAAACCAAAACTTTAATGATTGCAGCAAAGAAAGGGCAAAACCTGAAGTTCTTGAAAGCTTTGAAAGTAACCAGCAAGAGTTAGAAAGCTTTGTAGATATTGAACATCTTTTAAGAACTTTGAATTTGGCAGAATATTTAGATACTTTTAATGTGGACGAAATTAATTTATCAACACTGGTGAGGGTTGACCGAAAAGTTTTCCTCTTTAATATGAAAACTATTTCATGTTATTCATAGGTGGTGTATTTAGCTTCAACCAAATTTTAGAGTTCTTTATCTATATTTTAGTTCTTTTTATCAGATGAATATTTGAAGAACATGGGCTTACCTATTGGTCCGTGTCGAAAATTGATGAATGCTGTTAAGACAAATTTATGCTTTTTTATGTAGTATTTTTTTTAATAAAATAACACATTTTTTTAAATCATAGCTTTTAATACATAACACACTTTGATTTGTTAAAAACTCCAATAATAGCAGTAAAATTTACATTTTTGAAGATTGTTTTTTTTTTTTTAAATTTTATATTTATCGCTTAAAATGAGTTTAAACCTTTTAATATGGTTTATTCATAGGATTGTATACGATCATATGGTTATAAATTATGTCTCTTAAATTATATTAGCATATTTGCTAAATTATTTTTTAATTTCTTCCTATATCTTATGTAGTTAGCTTTTGTGGTGTTTGTGAATTTTGTTTTCATTTGTTTAAAATCATTACATATGTTTATGCTTTATTTGAGCATTTCTTTGTTATTTGTTTGACCTTTCACATAAAAATGCAATATCTTTTTTTTAGAAATTTTTTGTTGAAATTTCGGCTACAATATCAATAAAATTTTATATGAAATTGAACACTCAACTATTATAATGTAACTGTTTAAGAAAAATTTCTTGATATATATTTACTTTGCTTATATATATTTTTTCATTTTGTGTGCTACAAAATTATGCATGCCCTACAATTTCTGTTAAATTTAATTCTTTATGTGCTTCATTAAAACTATTAAAATGTAAATTAAATAAGTTTTGAATTGAAAAATTATTGCAACATGAACAAGAGTTTTAATTTTGTTATTTTCACATTTAACTTAATTCTTTTTTATCCAACTAATCTAAAATTTCGCGATTGGATTCAAGCCAAGGGACTAAGCTGATCAATCCATAATTTAATTATATTTTTAGGTAGAGCTAGCTGCTAGTGCTTGCACTAGAGTGTATGGATGTGTTGTTGTGTTGCAAAACAAGTTTAGATTTCCTATTCTTCTTCAAAAACGTATCAAGTTTGTCCTATAGAACTTTTTGACAGTAGTCCTTGTTATCCATTTTATGTAAAGTAAAGGCTAAATTTAGTTTACCTTGTTTACTGTAGGCTTCCTAGGAGAATTTTTTCTTTTGACAAATCCCTCCAATAATATGAGTATCCATCTGGGCATTTTATAAATTAAATTTTTGGTCACTAAAAATAACCTATAATTAAAATTACCAATTTTGAGAATAGTGGTTTCATCGCAACGAAAATTTTTAGTTTAATATTTATTAGTGACTAATTACTATTCATGTTTTTTTTCTTCAAAAATTTAATCTTGTGACTTTAAGATGAGGTTTCTGACTTTCCCTTTATTGCTCAGAGAACTGAATCCTTTAAAACATCTAGGTTGAATTTTGTTCATACTTCAAACATTGACTTATTTGACACTGTTTGAATAATTTTTTTTCTTCCCAATGAAAAAGCTTTTGAGGATGTCCTGTATATTTATTCAACTCTTAGATATACTCTTTAGTTAAAATGTAAATTGCACCTATTAAATGTTTTAGAATGTACATATATCCTTTACATATACTCTAAAGTGCCATCATCTGACCTTTCTCTAGGTCAGACAGCTGAGTTTCGTAGGGCAAGAAATAAAATTGAAATTTCAATATCAAAATGAAAGCAGAATATATATATTTTTGTGATTTTTTTCCCTTCCTATTTGTATGATGCAGCTAAAATCAAAATAAATAATTTGCAGTCTCACATGAATTTGTAGTAAGTATTTTTTTAAATAAAAGCTAATAAATTACGAGCAGCTAGTAGTATGTGCATATTTTTTTCCTCACTGACTATAGTTGCTCCTGTAAAATTTTCAAAAACTTGTTACCAAAGATTTAATAAAAAAACTTGAGGTATTTGCTAAATATTTCTGAATCTAATATAATTCCGTAGTGTATAAATCAGGTTAGAATAAGTGTATATGATTTGTATAACAAAAAGCCACAATATTTTACTCTTGTATTATATGAAAAACACAAGATGAATTTTGTTTTGATATTATTATGATAAATATTATCAAAATACATTGTATACAATACTAAAGAGGCTTGTGGATTAAAATATTTTTGTATTATTTAGTTTATTTACATTCTATCAAAATTATAAAAATATAGTTATAAAAGTAGACAGTGTACAGTCCAATTACAAAGAGGCCTATTTAATTTTAACCTTGAGCAGCTATAAATATTAGCACTTGAGAATGTGTATTAAAAGCTAATTTAAAAATATAAGAGCTCATTACACAGGTATGATTTATTTTCTATAGTTCTATTAAATAAATGCCTTTATGTTGTCTAGTGTATGGAACAAAATTTTAAATAATATCCATGACTAG